TAATTTAAAACCAGACGGACTGTAATGATTATAGTGGTGAATCTGGTATGTCAAGCAACTTTAATGTGGGATTGCACATTGCCAGCTTTTTTTCCCCTTGACTTTGATACCTGAGGTCTCTTTTTCCCATATTTAATTATGACTAATTTATTATAAAGTAATACGAATCCAGGGATCGCTGTGGCTTGCTTGCTGTGAAACTCGTAATTTCATAATCAAGTTGTATTTCTGCAGGCCTTGTGGCTTTGAAGACTAAACCTGAGGAGCCATAGTGGACGCACGAAAATATGCAGCAACACTTTTTGCGATCTGAACCTTAACGAGCTCAGTCATCGTTTCGATTGCAGTGGAGAAGCCAGCACTGTGATTAAAGGCTCCCTGAGGACGTCCATCTCAAATTTCTATTCTGTCCTCCTCGTCCAGCGCTCGTGAGGCGAGAGTGGAAGAACAGGTACGATCGCGTGATGAAGGCTCTCGGCAGCCCGGCGGCTCCGGACTCTGCTGACGCGGGCCGAGCTGTGGTTGAGCTGGTCACTCAGGAGCAGTCGACCACTCCTAAGAGGAAGCAAGGAAACGAGAGCGAGAGAGTGACGTTCTGCCCTCCACAGTGTAACCACAGCGCTTCCCTTCCCTCAGACGTCCTCATTGAGTTGAAGGTAAACTGGATTTTTGCAGTAATTCTCTTGAAAATGCTGCTGCAACTGAATCAAATTGCACCAGTTAGATTTTTATACTGCAAATTAGGGCCATTTGGTTAAAATGCGTTTTCTTTTTTTATGAGTGTTTATCGTCCCGACTGCTTGGTCAGATCACCAGTTTGCTTGACCCGAAATGTTGGAAATGAAGTCCAAAGAGCAGAATAATAGAGTTCTCACTAAAATAAAAGTGAGTAAAAACTGTCTGAACTTTGGGAATTTGATTTTTCACGTAGGAGTTGCTGAGTATCGCTGTCGGCCCCAGGACTGACGAGGAACTGCCGACCGTCTCTGAACTCCAAACTCTGCTGCAGAGAGTGGGAGGCACACTGGCCTGCAGAAAGGTACACGAGACGTACAAGTGAAACAAAACAGCACTTTTGCTGGGTTTGCTGATTTTCGCCAGCGCTGATCGCTCTCTTTTCCTTCTGTCTCTTCCTTTAGTTCTTGACTGTGTTGTCAGAGCAGATGCTTTTGAACTCTACTGTTCTACTGGCCTGCAAACTGGGTAAGAGATTAAGTTTATTTATTATATAGAGAAACCTCATGACGTACTGTGTGTTACAGTCGTCCTCAAATTTATTCATGCCCTCCCATTAAAGAAGGAAAAAAACATCTGTCACTGAAGTAAGTTGAAATTGACAAAAGTAATAATAAATAAGAATTTAATGAAAATCACAACATTGCTTTTGAATTGTGGTTCAACTGAAATATTAAAAAAACAAACAAACAAAACCAAGCATGATGGGACCCGTAAACTAATATTTTGTTGAACAACCCTTTGAGGCAGGGGTCTCAAACTCGCGGCCCGCAGGCCAGTTAAGGCCCGCTGGACGATATTTTGCGGCCCCCTACTTGCATCAAAGCTTAGTGTTCATGCTGTCTGTGTGTTGAGGGGCTCAGTTGCTTCCTCCCTCAAACCAAATGTGACTCAGCTGTGGAAGAGGAAGCTCTGCCAGGTCTCTGGTAGCAAGGAGTGGGTAAGAGAGGCCCATGTTCTGAAGAACCGTTCATGTTCTGAATTGTTATTCATAAAGATTGAGAAGATTCAATCAGTTTTTTGGAATACGTGATGTGGCCCAGCCTCACCCAGACTCTACCTCCAGCGGCCTCCAGATAAGTTAAGTTTGAGACCCCTGCTTTGAGCCAATCACTGCAGTCAAGTGTTTTCTGTAACTCTCAGTCAGACGTCTGCACCTGTTGACAGGTGTTTAGATTGTGGCCCACTGCTCATCAGCAAAGTGCTCTAATTTGTCCGGGACAGTTTGTTTATTTTTTTAAATGATTCTTTTCAACCACAATTCAAAAGCAGTGTCTCATTTCACTAAATTATAATTTAGCAAATTTTTATTTATTATTGCTTTTTTCAGTTTTGAGTTATTTAAGTGACTATTGTGAATTTTGCCTTTTCTTTAATGGAAGGGTGTGAATACATTTGAAAACAACTGTACATATTGTTATTTTTATGTGTTTTCAGTCCCACTAGTGCTTCATTACCAGCCCCTGTTGTCGTTCAAAATTTGCTGTGCTGCTCTTATACATCATGAGTTATCGTTACCAGATGTGAGAGCTTGTTTTGTCTGTTCAGTGTCTGCAGAGCTGCCGGTGCTGCCTCCGTCAGGGTGCAGCAGACGTGGTGGGGTCGTTGTGGGTCCTGATTCGGGGTCAGAGCTTCGTGTCACAGCGCTGCTGGAGCAGCTTGCTGAGCTGTGGCAGAGAGACTGCTGCTCCTCTGCGCCCCTCCACCTGCTCTTCACACCGCTCACCGTCACCGCCGTGCTGAAGGCCAGCGACACCGAGGTGCGTCCGCCGCCGCCGCCGCATTGCCTGACACAGAAGTGTTAATGATGTTACTATGATATCACAGTTGTCACTACATACTTTTCTCTGTAGATCCATAAGGCGTTGTAGGTGAAGGCTTTAAACCTCTCAACCCTGTTCTGTCACATTCTTACTCACTGTGAGCTGATTATTCACTGCAACGTAAAGTCCTTCATCTTTGTGGAAACGGCAGAACCACAGCTAGAAGTAGAGAGAACTCAAGAAGTCTTGCTCAGTATAAAATAAACTATATATGCCATGAACCATAAAAAGAAAAATTAAAGTGGAGTTTCTTTGATTATTTAATGAGCAAAAATTAAAACCTTACGCCAGGGAGAGCAGAATTATTTCTTACAGAATCTTTTTAGTGCATTTTTTTGGCAATGTTTTAAATGAGACATGCAGATTGAAGAGATTTAGTTGTTTTGGTTCATTTTCATTTTTATTGCTCTGATAAATTATGTTATTTTGGCCTGTTTTCTTTTCTTTTTTTTTTTTTTTAAACAAGCAATAAAAATAACTCGGCTTCCCAACCCTCTGGCAGAGGCTGACAGCAGCAGAAGGTGTCTTTCAGCGATTGATCTTCTGTTGTTGGTTCTGTTCTCCTCCAGTTCCTTCACAGTGTTTTAAATAACTGTTGTTTCCTGTAACACTTCATTTATTACAATTAATTAGATTCATAGTTATTGTCTGACATTTCCAAAAGACATGAGTGATCTACATGATGTGATTCACACTCTCTCCAGTGCACGGGACATTTTATTAATTGTAAACTGCACAAAACACTTGCTCTGTGTATAAATGTTAGTATATGTTACTTGAATTCTTTCAAATAGATATTTGTCACACCACTTTAAAAAAAAAGAGATCCGACATAGTTACACAGTCTGACATGGACTTAACTGAAACTTTTTTCTCCTGAATCAGTTTTTCCTTTAATGTATTTTTTAATGCAGATGTTTTAAATTCTTCATAAAGTGAGACAGAAAGAGAAGTAAGAATGAAACAGAAGGGACAATGTGTTCTGATCCGTTTGATCTCTATTAGGTTTCATCCTCTGCTGTTTTTGCTCACATCTTTCTAACCCAGATTCTATTGGTTTGAACCTTTTCTATAACCACTAAGTCCTATAAAAGTTGCTTGACCGGCCATCTTTAACCTTATTGTAATCCATTTCTCTGTCATTTCAGAGGAAGAACTACTTGTTCCTGGTTAGAAAGCTGGTTGACAGAGGAGTATTGAGCGAGGAAGAGGTGATATCTCATTGGAGGAAGCTAACTGATCTGGCCTTGCCGGCGGTGAGGGCTCGCTGCATTCCTGTCATCAGTTATTCCTGTGGAATTATTCCTTCCACTAGTGATTTGACCTCTTTCATCCCTGCCTTGCTCACTTTGTCCTCTCATTTCTGCCTCATTTCAGGAGCTGATAGAGAATTTTCAGCTTCAGTCGCGGAGTGTGAAACCCTCCTTGCCGCTGGCTGAGCTGCAAAGCCACATGGACATGCTGCAGGTTTCCCATCAGACAGTAGAGGGAGCAACATGACAACAGTAACACCGCACCACGACTTCTGTGCCATCACCAGTGTTTTTATTGTCACATTTCTCAGCGTGTTGTCCAAGAGAGAGACAATTCTGGGTGACGTCTTGCTGTTGACCATTTTCCAGTGTGTTCTTTTTTTCTGCACAAACCCATCAAAGTTGTTTCACAGTCGGCCTTTGCAAAGCCTCAGACTTTTGGTTTTCACCTCTGACGTGAGAGCAGCCTTTCACGACTCCCTCTGCTCTTAAGCGAAGGTGCAGAGGAGAACCAGAAAGCCCCGTCAGTCAGGAGTAGCAGCTTGGGGACCACATCGTCTCTCATCTTAGATTCAGGGGGAACCGTCCTGCGAGCAAGCCTGGTTGGATGATTGTGTCTTAAGGGAAATGCAGATCTAAACAGTGAAATCAACGGCGAAGATGTAAAATGCATGTTTCAGAACATGACACGTGAAAGACACAGCTTTCAGAAAACACACTGAAAATATCACTTTTGTTAATTTTTTAGACACAGGAGAGAAAAATCAGTCTTTATTTCAGCATAGCACTTTCACACAGACTGCCTTGGACCGCATAACTAGTGACTGCATGTTTATCTTCATGAATGCAAGACTGCGTTTGTGATTGTTTTTTTTGTTCATGTTGAACGAGCTTTTAAGCTGAACTATTTTTATGTTGTCACAATGTTAAGATTATAAATAATAAAGATGTATTCAGGTTTATGTGTTCTGTGTGTTTGTTTATTTGTGGCCATAGTGATGAAAAATCAGATAAATAATAATTTCTAATGCTGTAAAGCTTTAAACAGTGGGGGAATTTAAATAATAACAGACATGCAAAAAAAAAAAAAAGATTTAAATATGGAGGAGAGGGAGGAGTGTCCAGCAGCATCTCCCCTCCCATTTGTGTCCAGCAGGAAGTTTCGGTTGTCGGCGGAGAGTTTTGGAGCGACGCGGCGGGGCGGTCGGTTGGATCCACGGACGCCCGGCTGAAGATGGCTTGAGCGGCAAGGGGGGGAAAAGGACAACTTTTTCTCCGCTTTGGCCAACTAAAAATGCTAGCAAGGCTCACCATGCTCACACCACTATTCTCCTGAGCTGCTGAGTTGTGGGTGAAAAACCAGACATCATGGCAAACGTGAAAGTTGCCGTCCGGGTCCGTCCTCTCAGCGCAAGGTAAGTTCTCATGTTAGCTAATTGGCTCTGCTAGCTTAAATATACCACTTTTTAAAATTAGCGCTGTTTAGCTGCCTCCATCTCTTACTTTAAATGTTTTAACCCGTGTTTCCAGCTATAAGAGCCCGTCTGTGTGGTGCTAATGACAAACAAAACAACACACCTCTCAAGTTTCCTTTTGTATTGTCTCTGTTTATCATTTAAATTCATTTAATAGACAAAAAGTTCTATCAAAAGCTACCGTTATGCTAGCTGGTTAGCTAGCTACATAACAAGTGGTGCACATGGTGAATAATGACAACTGTGGCTGTCAGTAGTGTAGTCTGACCAAGCAGTGTGGTGCTGAGTAATGTCCAAAAAAACCCTGGAGCTAGTTTTAGGTTTAAAGTCTTCAAGCTGATGTGGTTCATAATTGGAAAGTCATTGGAGATGTGTTCCTGTGTGTGACATTTAACATTTAATTGAGTTATTCTGCACAGAAACGTTATAAAACACCATCATGAGTTATGACAGCCTGACATTTGATTTCTGCATCCAAGAAATCAGCTGCAACTAACTATTGGTCAGGTGTTCAGGTGTTTGTCCTATAAAATTGGGAAAAAAAGAGTGTTCAGTGTTTCTAAAACTCCTGTAGAGGAGTAAAGAAACCAGAAAATAGTCACATTTAAGAAGTTAGTGTAAAAGAATTTATGCTTTATTACAAATTTTTAAAAATCAATTTTGATAATTTATTGGCCGACCACTAATCGATTCTTCGATTAATCGTCTTTAGCAGCGATTTGATTAATCTGCAAGAAAAATAAGCTTATTATGGTTTAATAACTAATTTGGTTCATAATTCAAATTTCATTTTGATGTATTCGAAACACCATTGCTGCTTCTGCGTGTGAAATCAGCCTCAGGTAACAGTAATTCTGCACAGAAATCCCAATTAGGGCTGCAATTAATTATTACTTTCATTGTCAGCTATTCTGTCAATTATTTGTTCCATTAATTGATCAGTTATATGGTTGATAATATGTGAGATTATGTCCTGAAGATGATGTCCTCAAATGGTTAGTTTTGTCCCAAAGATTTACTGCAGCACAGAGGTAAATAAACCAGAAAACAGTCACATTTAAGAATTAATAATAAAAGAATTAGGCTTTTTTTTCAACTTAAACCAATTAATTGATGATCAAATAGAAGGAGATAGTTGGAGATCAATTTAGCAATTTAATAGTTGACAACCAGTTGATTATTCCATCAATCATTTTGGCTCTAGCAGCAATTTAAATAATCCAAAAAGTCAAAACATTATTATTAAAATCTGAAAATTTTTCACACAAGACATTTGAGGATCTCATTTTGGGCTTTGGTCAACATTAATCGACATTTTCACCATAATTTGACACCAGACAACTAACGAATTTATCAAAATATTCAACAGATTCATCTACAAAATGAAGTAATCATTAGTTGTGGCACCACATTAGAACTGCGACAACTTGATTAACCGATTACGTGTCGGCTAATAAATTTCACGCCATCTATTTCAACAATCATTTAGTTAGTTTGAGTGAGCTTGCTTTCTGATACCAGCTTCTCTTTTTCTTTATCCCTTTATGACAGAAAAGAGAATTATATTTGGCTTGTGGACAAAACCAGACATTTGAGGATGCCATCGTGGCCTTAAGGAAACACCGACTGGCATTTCTCTCCATTTTCTGACTCCTCGATTTTCTGACCAAACAACTGCTCGATTAACCGAGAAAATCAACAACAGATTTAATGGACAGCGGAAATAAATGTTAGCTGCAACCCTTCGTGACATCAAAATCCCTTCAGCGTTCCCTCGAGTAACTTAAAGGCTAACTAGTAGAACAACAACAACATAACCAAATGTAATTTTCACTATTTATTTATTACGTGAGTCATATTTCAGAAGCAGAAATTCTATATATTTGTAGCTTCTTGCTTGTCATGTGTGATTTGCTGCTATTTGGTTTGCACAGATGTAAGATGCAGCCATAAAAATAATTTCATACCATTATGTCTGACAGTATCGTATATTTCCTCAATTGGCTTTTCTATTTCAGTGTCTAATGTTGACACTGAGTCAGACATTCAGCTCCTTCTTTTTTTTCATGGCTGCACCGTTCTATCAAACGCAAATCTTGCGCATCATTACACAGATTTCTTCTAATTTCAGCATGACATGTTGGGAAACTGAGCTCTTTGGGGATTTTAATTTGGTTTTAAAACGCAGCTCTCATAATACCAAGCCATGCACTAAAGATAGAAAGGACAGATGTTTTGTTTACTTTTGCCTATTCTTTTGTGTTTGGTGAGAGGCATTTGTAGAAAAAAAAAGAAGAAGTTTGCCTTCATTTTACAGTGCTGTGAAATGTGTTGAAGTAGCAAAGAAACACAGGGAGGTTGTAAAGTTGCTTTGTGCCACTGGAGCACCCCTTTACATTCACAGGCAAATTGCTACAACATGTTGAATAACAGGTCTTTGGGGTCTGGTGATACAGTGCTTATAAGTTCTATAGTAGTACATTGAATTACTTTGAAGCCCTGCAGGATGTTTTAAGCTGAAGGCCACTACAGTCCCATAACAAAGCATTATTTAGGCTATGAAAGGCCAGACAATGATTCTTTCAGTGGGTCTTCCTGGTAGTTTGCATAACAAAAGCATTTCTTATATCAAATGTTCACTTTCATGCAAATCTGTCCTTCCTGATTTATGGTTCAGACACCCTCACTGTCCTCAGCGATTTTAAATGAAGGATGTATTTCCTTCCTTCATATATTTGAATAAGGCTCCGCTGTGTTACAGAGATAACATTAACACCAGCCCGGTCAGCTGCATTCCTCATTCGGCCGGGCGTACGAGGGTGCTGCTCTTTTTGTTTTAGTCCACCAATAGGATTCGGTGGGTGCCCCCTGAGAATGTGGGCAGCGTCTCACATGTGGAAGAAACATGTCAGCACAACTGTGAAACTGCTCGTCTCGAGTTTGTATCAAAACACATTTTTTTTACGAGGTTTACTATTTTCCAACCCCAAACCTCCACTCCTCCGTGCTGTTTAGAGCCCGAGATTGAAGGTTGGTGGTTTTGGGTTGGGCCGCTGCTGGGGTTGGCAAAATGAGCCCCGCGTGGTGAAACACAGGGGGGGGGGGGAGCTGGCGATTACAACAGCCCCCCCCAACCCACCGCAGAGATGGAGCGTTTTGCACTACAGGGCTGCATTCGGCGTCATTATCGCTCCTGGAGATCGAAAAAATTCTCTGTGCTCCGTGTTGTGATTGCCTCCAGTTTCGCATGTGTTGCATCAGATGTGCTTGGTCCAGCTGCTGAACTGCACACGCACACACACACACAGCTGGGTTGACCTTGTTTTGCACACATGTGAGCACACACGCTGCTCCTGATTATGCACGAGTAACATTTGTGCATTCTCAGGCTGCCTCATCTGAGAAAGCCTCTGGAGATCGTGACGGTCTGTTTTCATTTGAATCCGAAACTGGTTAGTGGTACCCTTGTGTGGCGATTTTATGGGTCACGTGCACACACACACAAAGATTCATTGTGTTAACTGTCATGTGATGGCCACAAGTCAAGTGGAACTAGGCTAAATTCATCTGGACACCCTCTCAATTATGCGGCGAATGAGGATTTTTAAACCAATTTGAAGCAGTATGTAGGCTGATAATACAGCATCTGAATATAAAGTGATTTTTTTTTGTTAAAGCTCAGTCCAGTTTCGCATTTCGAGCGGGAGACGCTGATCAATACTGATAGCGTACCTGAAATCTATTTCTCTCGAGGGGAAGCATGCGTTAATGTTTTCCCCCGATCCGGTCCCTCTCTTTTCATCAGCATTGATCGCATTCGCTTACACCTAATACTCAGTGTTGACTGAAGCAACCGTTTCCTTCTTCTCTTGCTCACAGGGAGAGTGCGGATGGAGGACGGTTAGCCGTTAAGGTGGAGGATAAATTTGTGAGGATCCGAAATGTAAAGGTGAGTATTTGTGCATACAAGCGTAACAGACAGCTAATTAGTTGCGAGTCATTTGGTGGTGGGACTGGGTAAAATAGGAGCAGCATGCAGAGGATATCTATCACAGCAACAGGATGTTTACAGTCTTGGATCAGCCTTTCCCTCCTTGATGCCGCTGTTGTTTATTATATGTGTTGAGCTCACACATACACACACACACACACACACATGATCGAGAGACCCTTCCTGTCAAACACATGCCGTCTGACAGTCTGCACACCAGTCCGAACAACAACAACACAACTACGGCTCACTTCAGCTACTTTCAAAATCTCTCCAAAAAGAAGCCATAGTAAATGAATGATATATCACACAGTAGCTCTGCAGCGGTGTTTATGCTGTAAGATGATTTTTTTGTTTGCCTTTTGTGAGGTTCTTCACATTTGGAAATAATTATGTGAGCTGCACAGCCTTGTAAGCTGATACTTTCACCATGTTACCAACCTGCTGTGTCAGATAGCCGAGCAGACGTGTCTGATTGGTTGAGCTGCATTGCCTGCAGACAGTCTGGTGTCTATGGCTTCACTATGGAATATGCTACACTATGTTTTTCATCGTGAAGGTTTGCATTGGCTAATGTCAAGATGATAAAACTCTATTTGAAAGGGGCTAGCTTGTAAATGCTACAGCAGTGTTTAAGGTTATAATCAAATCTATGTCCAATTTGTGCAAATGTGCAAGAAAATTGAGGAAATTAAACTTGGAATAAAATTTAAAACTCACATTTGTGTGCAAACTAGTCCCACGACTTAACGCATTAGACTGATGGTTAAAGGACTGCACCTCTTGTGTTTACATTTGAACTTACTTATAGGGAGATGTTGGGTGGGGGAGTAGAGAATCTGTTGCAAAGGATGTGACAAGAGACAAACCACATATGGCCTCCCTCTGCCATGGAAAAGGATCAAGAATCCAAGGCTCTTGAGGGTCTCATGGGACAGATTATTTATGGAAAGTGGGACAGTTTTGGAGGATCTGAGATAGGAAAAAAAAATAAAGTGGGAAATCTAAGTTGCAATAAATGTGCAGCTCACAAATAGCAAGTGATACAAGCTGTAAAGATCTACTAAAGTTAACTGGTGTGAAACAAGGAGCAAAACAAGCAAAGCATAATGTTTTACGACTAGCTGGAGCTTCGGTGGTCGGAGCCTTGTTGTGCAGGGGGATTTGCTGGCGGCCGGTGTTGCTCGTGGTTGATCCCTCGTACTACAGGGGCATTGTTGAATTTCCTAAAAGTGCAGAGGGGTTAAGTAGTCATGCTTTCAGGCAAGCCAATTGCTGTGAACAAAATTGATACCTAGGGCTTAGTGCTGCCTAATGCTGCAGTCAGTGGAGGATTATTTGCATAGATGATAGAGTGGACTGCACCTACAAGGCCCTTTTCTCAGCCTTTTTCTTGGCATGAAAACTACTGAAGTGTTTCTTTCCAGCTGCAGCGATGCTTGCAGCTGAATCTGCACCCACAGAATGTAAACATGATCCCCTGATGTCACTTGTCAGAAATTTAACAGCACGGTTACAGCATACGCTTACTACCCACTTTATTGTGATCCTGCACAACATATCTGCAATAAATTCTACTGGACAAAGTGTCTACATTTTGAGTTTTGGTGACATTATTGAAAGTGACGGTTTTACCTTATGTTTATTATTGAGGTCGGAGTGGGTTCTGGTCCCATTGTGTATGTTATTGGGGTTGACAAAATATTTGGGACACTTGAAAATGTAACGCAATCCACCATCAGCTACTGTGACTTCAATAATATACATGAAGTAGGATTATCACCTTTTTGACAACTAAGAAGACGCTTTGGCAGAGCTTTAGTATTGAATTGCACTGGATTTCACAGGTGTGTCTTAAAAAAAAAAAAAAAAAAAGTGGCCAGTTATTGTAGAATGACAGCAATGCAAAATAATGATAATTGCAGGTTTTAGTGTCAGTCATCAAAATAAAGAGCCAAGATAATTATCAGCAATTTGTGGTTTGTGATATGTCTGACTTAATACTGTGGTAATGATAAGGTAATATTATGCAAATAAACCATGTCAATTATAATTAATGTGTGTTTTGTTTTAGTAATTTTATCATTGTCCCAATTGTAATTTTCAACAAAAGCGAATCATTTGGGCGAAAAAAAATAAAGTTGTACAATCTACCCAACAGCTAAATTAGAAATACAGGAAGTTTTAACTGTATTTTTGAGATGGTGTACATGAATTTATAGCAATTTAAGTCACAGGTGAAAAATGACACCGGAAGCAAAATAAAGTGCAAGCAAAATTCTCAATTACATAAAGGTTAACTCTAGCAGGCTGCCAAGGAGCCCCATCATTTCATTTGGCTCTTATGATATTGATATTAATCAGTATACTGTCGGGACTCGATAATCCGACCCTTAACAATCTAAAAAAACCTTGCTATCTGACAGGTTTTTAGGAAAAATGAACGGAACCCATAGGAAATAGCCTTAACATACCGACAGCCTTGGATTCTGACTCCAACACGACATTTTATGTCACAAATAAGGATAGTGGTGTATTATCTGACTGAACAATCCCACAGATTGGCTACATTCAGACTGTAGGGCTTAATGCTCAATTCGGATTTTTTTGTGAAATCCAATTTTTTTGCGAATTCGTTCACATTTCCAATTAAATGCGACTTATATGTGATCTGCTGTGTGAACTTCATACAACCAAAAGTGTCCTGCATGCACAGAAGAGGACACGACGACATCACACGCAGTGAGCATGCTCAGTGTTTGTGGAAATAAACACCGATGGTAACGGTGGAGCGTATCTGCCACTCCCCCGCTGCAGCCATCGATGGTGAAAGCACAACTGTGACCGCTGTCCTAAACTGGCATCAGCAGCAAAGTACTGCCTGTGCGTTCCGGCCACTTCCACCCCGGGGGTGCGCTCCCACGGGGTGGAAGCGGCCGCAACATGCACAAGCGCACCGGTCAATTAGGTGTGAAATCCAGCGATGCGTAGTGTTCTAACAATACACTAGTTATTATAACAACTATAAACAATAAATATTAACAACAAAGGACCCTTCAAGCATCAAGTCCTCCTTGTATCTCGACCTCTGTCTTGACAATCCAACAGCCTTGTTATCCGACATAAAAGAAGTTATTCCATTTAGTGTTGGATTATCGAGTCACGACTGTATGAACAAGTTCTGTCAGACGCATTCTATAAATCAGTTAATTACATTTACCTCGAAAGATCAACCTCCCATGCATTGAAAATACACATTACATAGAAAGCGAGTTGTTCCACTACAATCGCATACATTTCCCATTGTTCACAAACTTGTGATCTATTTGGAATTATTTTATTTTTTTGCAGACAGACTGACTACGTTTTATGTAAAGCACGTGCACCTAACAAGATGTGCACGAGACGCTCGCTTTCATCACACAAAAGGTCTCGCTGTACGCTGAACTGAGACGGGTTTCTAGGTCGAATGCAGTGATTGAGAAGAAATGCTTAGATGCTTTTCCAGTGCACAGGCGAGTCCAAATGCTGCTGCGCTGTCTTTCCACAGTTGCAGGCTTCACTCACAGTAAGCAGAAAGGTGTTCAGAGTCAATGCACCGAGGCGAATAAAGAACTGGAGGAGGAGTGAGTGGGGTGCTAATGAATGGAAACAGCCTGCTTGCAATTCCACACTGTAGTAGTCCCATAAACTAAAGCTATATTACTGACTTTTATCTGTGGGATTTTTTTATTAAGCTCCTGTTTCTTTTTTCCTCCACTTATCATGTTGTTAGATGCATGCACACATCGCCCCTTTAAAGTCTGTGTGCAGCACAGCACTCTATTAGCTGCTTCAAAAAGAACTGTAAAACCAATTCCTGTTGTGGTTGGTAAATGAATTAACTGATCTTCCTCCACTATGTTGATAAGCATTGGTTAAATGTCAAATAAATCAAAAATGTTTTACTTTTTCTTTCTTCCCTAAAGTTGGATGGGCGTACAGATGGAGCTGTAGATTCCAGGGAGAAGCTTCTGGAGTTTTGTTTTGACTACTGCTACTGGTCGGTGGATCCTGCAGACCCTCACTATGCCTCTCAGGAGGAGGTAATGATAACTCTCTAACTAACTGTGTTTACATGAACTACAGTGTCTGCTTCTTTATCTCACTGTAAATTACATAGCTTTCTAATTAGAGTAGTTTTATTACATGGCTTGCTTCTTGGGCTATATCAAACATTCCCATGATTTGCACGCACAGTCGCCAAATAATGACATTGACTTTCAGTCGAACATTCAGCTTTAAACATTTTTTTTCTTTTCTCATGCTACTGTAGTCCAAACCTAAGTTTCCTGATCTGAGTATTGAATATTTGCAGTCACAGTTAGTCTAATTGGTTTATGTCCTTTATAGTGGATAAATATATCAGTTATGATTGAGGACGTTTGTGCAGCACTGCTTACAGATCTTGTTTAGTTTTCGTGCCATGTTGTGTGTCCCGTTGTGGGTGAAGACCATGTGTGTGCGTATCCAAGATTTGGCCACAAGTTGACACAGGCCAAGCACAATCTCCAAATGAAGAGCCCAGAGGAAACACTGTCCTTGTAGACAAACCACAACAAGCAGGGTGTGTGTGTTGTGTTGTATGTTTTTACACAGATGGCCACTCGGGGGATATGATATCGGCTCCATCTGTTACCCAGAAGTCTCTTTGCCTCAGACATGGCACGATTATAGTCAGCTCGCGTTTCATGTCCCGGCTGTGATTGGGCGATTAGATATCTTTGTGTTGCTTTGATTGGAGGGTGTTGCTGGAACCTGAGATGGGCTTCAGATCAAGAGGAAGTAGTGCCTAATTCCACTACAGGAAACCTCTTCAAAACCTATTGATATGGAGTTTAAAAAAAAAAATAAAAAATTCTAAATAAGTTTCTCAACTTGGATTTCCATCAAGCTTTCATTGTTCACCACAACAGCTAAACAATAAAAAAAAAAACCTTGCTTGGTCCACTTTTTCTATCCTTTGTTCATGAGGTTTCCTCCTCTGCCACGCCCTTTCTGTTTGCCTCTCCTCTTGTCAGAGCTGCCTTTGTATATATTTGAGAAAGACAGGGCTGTGATGACGGCCTACACGTTGCACACAGCGGCAGACAGCGCAGCACTTCATCCTCTCTGCTTTCTGTCTTCTCTGTGGCTCTGGCTAAAGCTGCCTCTGTCTTCAGCAAAATTATGTCCAGTCACAGTGTCCTAGTCGCCACAAGGCATTCTTGTGTTAACCCCGGGGTGGGCGAAAGGGCACCAACGAAGGACAGAGCTGCAGGATTTAAATCTGACCTCCTTTCCAGCACCAGAATCCAAAGAATCGTCTCTTTAACAAAGAATCTTGTATCTCACCACGTCAGCCGTTTACTGATCGGACATCACAGTTTAAATTATTTAAATTGTGCATTTTTCTTACGGATATGAAGACACGGAGCCTGACGTAAAACGGAGAAAATACTGTGTTTTTGTTGTGGGGCAGGAAACCACATTAATGGAGTGCGCTGGCAGGTGGACTTTTAATTCAAGAGCCACTCTCGACTGTTTTACCAGACAAAGTGCTTTCCAGAACAGTGGAGCGCTTGTCCAAGTGGCCAGTTGAGCGGGATAATTTGTTACCCACAACTAAATTTTTCAGTAATGTTCTGTTGCGTCGCCTCATTTCACTTACTATAGTTAAAGTGCTCTCAAGTGACTGTTTAGATGTTGTTTCCCTCGTATCAGATATCTAACCGCATATATTTGTGTGCATTTTCCGGCTTAATGAGTCAAAGCTATTTTTTCCTGTGCTAAATTTTCCCATGGTTTCTATTTCTAAAATATATTTTAGCGTGCAGGAAGACAGACTTTCTCTTACGGCGTAGTTCCCTGGAGGCTGAGACTATCTGAACCTGTGGGGGGAATGAGACATGGGGAAACTGGATCTTAACTCCTGCTTTTCCAGTCCAGCACCATCTCACCACGCCCAGCTCCCCTCCTCTCTCTCTCTCTCCAGGGAGACTGATCTTCCAGCCCCTGCACCTCCCTCCCCATTCCTGCTCCGTACCGTCCATGTCCATGCATCACTGATAGTTCACACCAGACACTTGTGGGGGGTTTCCGTCCTCTTACCCAGTTACAGCAGAGAGAAAAGACAGAAATGTGGTATCTTGAACTATATTTTGAGGCGCAGACGTGGTTGCATTTTTGTCACTGAGGGCTCTCCACATGAAAAAAGCTTGCCATACAGCGTGGGTGGCTCCAAATTTGAAGCCGTATCTATGAGCATAAAGAGGTTCAAGAAGAAGGCTGAGTAGAAAGAAACGATAGGAGCTCGTGCAGGTGAGGGAAGGTAGGATTTTGGAAGAGCTTCATAAACCATAATGGAAGCCAGCTGTTAGTTAATGCAGCAAAGAAGTGGGACTATTTGTCTAAATGCTGCCTTTGTTTTGGGCCCACATATTGGCCTAATAAATAGGTTTTTCCACAATTTAATAACACAAACCCCTCAGCTTGTTTATTGCCTCTGACAGCAAGAAACACGAGAGGGGAAAATTCAAAAGAAGTAGTGGATTTGAGTGTGGTTAGATACGGGGAATGGCGAGAGAAAGCCATTAGAGACCAAGAGAAAGTGGGAATGTGAATTCCTCTGGTGGAGGAGGGGATGACAGGAGGGGAAACGGGCACGGGGTCCACTGCGCCTCTGCAGCCCCCAGCTCTCGCTTGCCAAACTCACAGCTGTCTCGCTAAGTAATTTTTCGCAGTTAAATTTCAGTGTAAAGACGTCACTGCTGAGGATTGGCTCGGAGCACAATGGGGTTTTTTTTTATTGCCAAATGGAGTCGGCTTGCTGGGGTTTTTCCCTCTCTCTCTCTTCCTCCTCCTCCTCTCTCTGCGACTCTATCGATGCAGTGCGCGATTTGATTATGCTCGCAGTGTTTCTAGGTCTGTGTGTCAGTGGTGCTGCAGAGTAGGGGGAAGAATAGTTTCTCTGTGTATGGGAATAATCCTCCGCACAGACATTTCGTCCCCCTCAACACATGGCCGGAGCAGCAGCCAAAAGTCCAGTTCAGCCTGGTTTGAATTAGCTACAAACAGGGCACCAAATATACCACATGCTGTCAACAAAAGAAATATGAGATCCGAGCCATATGGTTACAGAACAAGCACCTGTGATTCATGTATAGACGTACTGCTTTCTGTCAGTGAAGGCAGACGATAAGAGGAATTATTACAAGAGAATAAAAGTACGTCATGAGACATGGAGGTAGCTCTAAAAATTAAGAATAAAGACTTCTCTCTCACTGTTACGTGGGTTCTGTGGACCGCAGATTGAGATGTGTTAATTGAGTTAGTATGAAATTGTACTACCTGTGTATATTACTAAAAGAATAATCTCTTGTGTTGCAGCGTGAACACATTTCTTCACTTTCCCACGAAAAACCACCTTGAAAACGAGTACAGCATGAGAACCGCTGTAGCTCATAAACACTGTGCTGAGACTGCGTATGTTTGATGTACTGGTCGTTCACTTTGTTTTATCGGGGTCCGTTGTTTCTGCCAGCAGTGATAAGAAAGCGCCTCTCTGTGACCTCGGGCTCGTGTTTGTGTTCCTATATTATTGTACTACAGCATGTAACACAATACAGGTTTTGCCTGTCTCTTATCTTCACACTATTAGATGAATATCAGAGGTCCACTAACCAGAGCTAATGCTAATGCCTGGCTGACCCGCAGTTAAATCCTTTTTGTTTTGTTTTTTTTACTCACTTCAAAATGAAAGTTAGGCTGTGAGCCAAGAAGCTAATAATGAGCTTTCGTTGCACATCTGGAATCTGGTGATTATACAGATTTTTTTTTTTTCAAGGAGGCATTTGTGACCATTTTAGTGTTTTCTTTGTCATAGCTCTCTCTCGTTCTCTTTATCTTATAGGTGCGTTTGCTTTAATTAAATAACTTATTAAATCTATCATTGTCCACTTGTCCTGAAAAAGAGTTGCGTGTCAGAAGGACAAATTAAAACAAACATGATCACAAATGAATCCCTAAAACACAGAAAAAGACAGTTGGCTAAGTCTTAGTTTAATCACCTCTAATGCCATTGTTCAGCCCTGTGTTTATGGATTACCACATGGGTGTTGGTTCTCAAAACACAAAGATATGAAGTGATATGAAGTAGTGCAGCAGTACCAAGTTCATGCCAGTTTGTAGTAATGTTGCTCCAGTTGATTCCCCGCTGGAGGAACCTTTACTGTACCACCGTTCCCTGTGGATATCACACAAGGCTCCCATCAGTCTGAAGCCTGGAGAAGTAATTTCCAGCTTGTCATAAAGATTGTGATACGCGGCCCTGCTCTGGAGTGCTGGGCTTTGGTGTTTTTAACAAGATTTTTGAGGGAGGAGGAGCGGCAGCAGATCTCCAAACGCTTTCCAGATATGGTTTTATTTATTTGTTTTAGGTGTAGCCTTTGACCCAGTGACTGTTGGAATAGGAGTTTCTCCTGAAAAGCGGAATGCGCTGGTGGAGTGCCCCCTGCCTGCAGTTTCTTTTTCCTCACTCCCCTGTCCTCTGTTCTACTCTTTACTCTTGTCCTTCATTCCCATGCGAAGGGAGGCCTGAGTAATGAAGAGCAACCTATCTGTTTGGTCCGCGCATCCCTTTCTCTCACTCCTCCCTCCCTTACAGCCTCCGTGCCCTTCCATGCTAATTTGACCTACAAATTCTGTCCGAGTGTGACAAACGAGAGCGTTGTTGAACTCCGGCCAAACAGCTTCCTCTCCGTCTCTTGTTGCTGCATGTGATTGTGTCTGCGTCCTCCCTCCCTCCCTCCCTCACTGTGGTCCTCGATCTTCAGATTTTGCCCTAATTTACCTCTAATTCTCAAACTTGGACTTCTCGCAGGAAGGACAAGAATCTCCTGTGACATTGTTTTTCCTGTGTCTAAACAAAGGCATTTAGTTTAGCTCTGGGCCCAGCTGTTGTGTTTTTGTAACCTAGTTGGAAACTGTGACGAGAACCGGGCGACCCTCGCACCTGCTGCAGCTGTCCACTCCTGGACGGGGAGGATAAACAAGGGGAATAATTTAA